TGTTCCGCTTGATTTATGCATATAATTATCTTTATTGTAATTATGCAGAGAGTTTTACAGATTATATGGACACTGCAATGTAAGTAGAACAGGAAAGGAAAAACAGAAAAAAAGGAGAAAAGATGAAAGAAAAAAGATAAAAGGGTGAAAACGATAAAACATCTTCAGTCAAAACCAGTTATTTGACTAAGACATTTTAGTTTTTACATTTCCATTTCAAAACCGTGTTTTTGCATTATTCATGGAACAAAATTCACTCCATATTGATCAGGTATAAGGATACAGGGAAGCACCTAAAACATGCACTATATTTATCACTGTACTGTTTTTTTAAAAAGCTCATGTAACAGTTGTGGCTTGGAAATAACTTTTGTTTAGCAGGACTAATAGCAAAAATGGCTCCTTGGGTTGTAAATGTTGAAGATGCCTGTCCTAGACTGTGGACTCTGTGGACGTCCAACATTGCCTCTGCCATTGTGATTGCTAAATAAGGAAGCGGTAAACAGGGCTACTTGTGTGTTTATGTTTTCTATAGTTGGTGGAGCCGCTGACTCCCAGTGGGACAGCCCCCAATCAAGCTCAGCTACGCATCCTGAAAGAGACGGAGCTGAAGAGGGTCAAGATTCTGGGTTCTGGAGCTTTCGGAACTGTCTATAAGGTCTGGAACTATCCAATTAACTAGCAAAATATAGCAATAATGACATAAAATGTTTGGTTTCTTCCTGTCTTACTTTTTCCTTTATATCATTTATTTCTTATTTTTATCAATTAATGTCTCTTTATCCCCTTTTTCTACCTTCACATAGAAGCAAAGCAGGCCCTCAGGGTCTGTGTCAGGGTCATGGCTGTATGTGTTTGGGCATATGAGCCCTCCTGATTGTACATTCATAGCCAGTGCTTGTATACTTTCAGGGCATCTGGATCCCAGAAGGCGAGACGGTGAAGATTCCCGTTGCTATAAAAATCCTCAACGAGACCACAGGCCCCAAAGCCAACGTGGAGTTCATGGATGTAAGTATCGTTTTTACTGCACGCGACGGCTCTGTTTCCACGCCTCTCAATGTTCAAGCTGTAAAGTCGAACGGGAGGACCAAGGTTATGCAAGTTTTGCTGTTCAGTCTGAGTCGGTGCTGGTAATAAAGAGAATCTCACTGCAGCATACAGTGGCGGATGTATTCAACAAGACTCTATTAAAAACAGCACCCAGCTTATGAGCCATGGCTTTATTGGAATCCAAGAGTGATAGCGGGAATTGGAAAAAAGAAGTAAGCTGTGGAGTTTTGAGCTTATTACCACCTTATCTGTGCCACCCTTGTTTTCTCTTTCTTTTCATCCAGGACTCAGTCACACATGTGCAGTTTAACTGACAGATATTTAAGTTATATTGAAATAAAAGCAGAAGTTGCAGCAACTGCAGCATAGTCAGGGGATTGCTTTATTTCACCGATGTATTGCACACCAAAAAAGAAGAGTTTTTTTGTCAGCCAGGCAGTTGGGGATCCGTACAGATGTTGGATCAACTCTGGAATATTTTGCTTAAAGGAAAGGTTCGTTTTAACTGTCAGGGCTATGGAGTGAACTTTATCCCATTATTATGGCAAAGACAATGTTTTGTAAATGGAAATTTGAAGAAAATAAAATCAATTGAATAACATTTTAATACTGTAAATAAAAAAGGTTCTGAGTAACTTTGAGTACTTTGATAGTAACTTTGCTATTTTTACAAATATTTTTTTCAGCATTTTTCTCAAATTAATTCACAAAATTATTCTTATATATATATATATTTTAATTATACCTCTTGAAAATAGTCTTTGAAAATCTATATTTTCAAGTGTTTTTAATTAACTGAACACACTAAAGGTTATTTTAAAATCAATTGCATTCTCTTCACTTCAAGCCACATAAAAACATTCTTTCTTCACCCATAAAAACGTTGTTGCTAATGTCCAGCAGATCAATTAAAAGGCGACTTCACTCCTCGCTCCAGAGTAAAATT